CTAGACTAATCAGATGGCATATTTGGTTTGCAAATTATAGAATCAAATTTGAATATATTTCTGGTAAATCTAACTTTGTTGCTGACTTTTTGTCTAGACATTTTTCTGAAGAATTACAGGATGGTAGACAAGAAGGAAACTAGAAATCACTTCTCATGCTCCAAGTGTAGACAAAGAGGACACTTGAGAAGGAATTGTCCCTTAAAGATAACTTCGGCTCCAAGGGTTACTGCAAAAAAGGAGAAGACTGCGGATAAGCAGGTGATCTCTACTCCCAAGCAGGTTACTGTGACAAAGTAGGTTAAAGAAGGAACGAGTTGAGATTATGACTCTGATACTTCGGAAAGAAGAAACCCAAAATTTCAACGTTTGAAAGGTACTTCTACGAAGGAAATTACTTCTGAAAATGAGGTTACTCCTAAGAAGGAAAAACAGAAGACTCAGAAAAAATAAATAGTTTGTTGGTCTTGTAAACAAGAAGGACATGAGTGGGCTAATTGTCCACTGCCAAAGACAAAACCTTTTGAGGATTCATCATCAGGTGCTGCAAGCGTGGTGACTCCACACACTCCACAAAAGCTGTTAATTGACGCGAATATTTGTGAGAGGTTTCGCTTTCCAGAAGGCTTAAGATTAACTCGAGCTAGTCAAACACTCTAGGAGGATTTGGAAACCCAAATTAGAATCACATTGGTGACAGGTCAAGGGGAAGTACAACTGCAAAGGTGTTTAGAGAAGCTAGCAAGAAGGTTAACATAGTTGGAAGCTGATAAACTGTTTTATGAGAATGAGGAGTTTAGAGGAACTGCTCTGCTTTATGAAGCAGGAATTCAAAAGCTCGAGGTAATGAGAAAATGTCATTTGTTTGACATGGTGAATCTCAAACTCCAGAATCTGAATAATCTAATAGTGAAATTAGGAAAATCTGACTTGGCGGATTTGGTCCGAGGATTAGCAGTTTATCTTAATGGCACTATGGAATTGTACGTTCCATAGAAAATCTTTAGAAAAGGTTATTGCAAAAACCTTTTGGATAAAGGATGGATCGATACAATAGAAATCAAAGTACAGGAAGCAATGGTGGACCCGAATATGCCAAACGTGGTTAAGCAAACGCTCTGTGTATTGAATCGAAAGGTCGACACTTTTACTTGCATGATTACTTCCTCATTGCAAGAGAGCTATAATGTTCAACCTGTACAGATATGATAATTTCTTGTAGGAGAACCATGGTACTGAATTATGCTAGATAACGATGTAAAAATGGGTTCTTATGCACTAGAAGAAATTCAAAAGAAAGAAGAGGAAGATTGGACCAGGCTGCATATTGCAAAATTGCTACTGGTTAAATCCAAACTGGAGGAGCTTGTTAAAGCAAATGCTACTGTCCATATCCATAATGGGATAGTGGTAGTATTACCAGACAAGTATGTGACAATCTAGGATACACTCTTCAAGCATAACCAAGCCCAATTAAGAACGTTATTAGAAAGTTTGATTTAGCCCATCTACCAAAGCAGACTTTAATGGAATGTACTATTGATCTTCTGAGGATGGTCTTAGCCCACGATCAGGAATCCCAAGAAGATGAAAATCTGAAAGATTTTATTAATCTTATAGAAGTGGATAACTTCAAAGACTAATAAAATCTAGAAGATGAAGATTTGGACAACCAAAAATGTCCAACACATAATATGCTAACGTGTATCAAACAAGCGGAAGATAATACGTGAACATCCAGGATTTTACGAACAGGATTCAATGATCCAGATTAAAAGAAGGCATTGGATTTTGTCCTTTATAATAATTATATTTTGACTTTTGTATTTTGTATTTTGTCTTGTGTTTTGTAATAATTATGTTTTGTCCTTTTGTAATTATTAAATATGTAATAATTTGTCTTTGTATGACATGTGGACCCTAATGTCATTATCTTTGTTTTGATTTGTTTTGTCTTATTGTACGGATTCAATTAATTTGAGATTCGGACTTCTCTATATAAGGAGAAGCTCATGTTCATTTTGAAACAGAGAAAAATTAATAATATTTTTAGTTTGTCCCAAATTCATTCTCTCAATCTCTTGCTTTACTTTTGAATTGCAAACTCGAAGCAAAGAAAAAAGGTTCATTAAAGAAGATTGATACTCATGTATGAATTAATCTTTAAAACTGAATCTATGTGTTTTTCTCTCCAATAAATCAACTAAGAGCCGAGCCACTGTTTATTTCTCTAGCTGCAGTAATTTTTGAGTTGTAATATCTTTTTCTCTCTACCAAATTTAGGGACATTTGCATATTAAATTGTTTGTTCTATTTATTATCAGGTTGATCAAGGTTTTACTTTATGTTGTTCACGATTGGTTTCGTTAGACTTTTTTTGTTGTTGTTTTGATTCTTGGTTTGTTATATGTTCAAGAGCTTTGATATTGAGTTTTTTTGTGAAAATTGATTTGGGATTGGTAATTGTAGACGATAAAATCTACCCGAAAATATTGCTGAGATGTTGAGCCATTGAGAACCTCGAATTCCTATAGAGAGACACGAAAACGAACGTGAAGTACTTGGGGACACTGGTGTGATGTCTGTCGTAAGCACTATGATGCTCTAGTGAACAAGGTTATGACGAAAAATTGAGCGGAAATAAGGGTAAGAAAGTTACCGTGTTTCAAGGCTAGGCAAACTATCTTCAATGCAGAAGGGTCAAAACTCGATTCTATGGCAAAGGACGGCTAAAGGCGGGGGAATTATGTGAGGCTTGCGTTTAGAATGCTTGGATTCTAGACTTTTTCTTCTTTTTCCTCTTCTTTTTCTTCTTTTTTAAGCCACTGACAACCTCGAATTCCTACAGAGAGGCACGAAAACGAACGTGACGTACTTGGAGACACTGGTGCGGTGTCTATCATAGGCACTCCGATGCTCAAGTGAGCAAGGTTGTGACGAAAAACTGGGCGAAGATAAGGGTAAGGAAGGTTACCATGTTTCAGGGCTAGGCAACTATCTTCACCGTAAAAGGTTTGGAACTCGATTCTACGACAAAGGACAGCTAAAGGCGGGTGAATTACGTGAGGCTTGCATTTAGATTGCTTGGATTCTAGAATTCTTCTTCTTTGCCGCCACGCCTCTCTCCACAATCTGCCACCAATTGAGTTTTGATTCATCAAAAGCCATGAATTAATCGAAAATTCTAAAGTTCATTTGGAAAATACCTTTGCCGAAGACCAGAAGAGGAAGAGATTGGTGAACCCACGAGACAAATTTCTACAAACGACTGGAAATGATGAATCGGCGAACGGTAGAAATCAACGAACTTTCCCCCAAATTTTACTAGCGTACACTTTACATAACCTAAATTCAATTTCAATTGAATTGTAAAATATAAAAATGTCCCCATAATTTATTAAAAAAAAAATTATACCTTGATTCCAAGTTTTGGTTTTTGAAGGGGGAACTAAAACAAAAACCGTACAGTGATGATTCCCCCACTTAGACCATCTTCAACCCATTGCACCAATTTGGTGCAAAATTGCACCAAATTGGTGTAAAATTTGGTGCAAAACACTATTCTATCTCCAACCCACAACACCAAATATTGCACCAAAAAGAATATTCCCTATAATATTCCCTAGAATATTCTTTAGAATATTCTTTTTTTTCTTTTATTGTAATAATCAACAATTAATCTATTTCACTTATTATTTTTGTATATATTAATTAAATATTGGGAATGATATTTTTATTAAATAATAATTATTTTGAAAATTATACTAATTTAATAGAATTAAGTATTTATTTAATCAAATAAACATTACATTTAATATAGAAAAACATTACATCTAATATAAACATTACATTTTATTTTGAGTTATTGTAGTTTAATATTTGCATTGAATAAAGTTCTATTTTTAATTTTTCATCATTTTTTAAATTATATCATTATTATAAATTTATTATTATAAATAATAATCAAATTAAATTAAATACAAATACTCAAATTAACTTAACAAAATTAAAACAAAAAAACTAAAATTAAAAAAATTTGTTTTTTTATGTCTGCTACAGTACCGCGCCATTTTGGCGCAGTGCTACAGTGCTGCGCCAAATTTGGCGCAGTGTTTAGCGCGGGTTGGACTGCCAACCCACGCCAAATTGGGTTTTTTGCACCATTTTAGCGTGGGTTGGAGATGCCCTTAGGAACCAAAACCGACATTGTGAGGGCTGATTCTGGTTCCTACTCAGAATTGGAACCCCTATTCCTGCCAGTTTTGGTTTTGACGATTCTTTGCACACTCCTATTTATACAACCCCTACCCACATGTAGTACGTTACCACTCTTTTCCTTTCGATTTGAATAAAAACGTTAAACAAACAAATATTTCACGTTTTCTAGATAAAGAGAACGAAAATAAACTCTAAAATCATAAACGAACAGGGCCTTAATCATCGTTAATGTTACTTTTGTTGTAATTTCAATACAGACAACTTCCCCTAAAAGAAGTTATGCGTGAATGAATTTGTTATTTTTTTTTTAATAACATTAAACAAAAAAGTCGAAAATAAACTTCAATAATAAAAATCATTATTACATGGTAAATTTGTGTAAAGTTTCAATTTCAGAGGATTGTTTATCTATGTATTATTAAATAAGATTGAATTGTAATCCTTATAATTTGATATCAGATTTATGATATTGTTCAATTTATTAAACATTCAAAATAATAACGAGGAAACATGGAACCAATTAATTGTATAATCTTGCCGGATTTTGAATCTGAATCTTCGCATTCTGCATACGACATGGGCTTGTAAATTAGGAAAATATAAAAACTTCATAGACCTTACATAGAAAATCGAAACTCAACGTTCAAGAATTGAAGCCAACCCATAACAAATTCTGAAGAAAATCTTTTATGGAAGGAATACACCAATCTTGATGCACTGTGAATGTGCAGCCACTTATCCTACTAAAACAATAAACTATTAACCAATAATATAATGCTCCGGTTAGCAACTGACCTTCATAAATAAAAGAATATTCCATCCACAATACAGAAGCAAGTTTAAATCTACAAAGTTACAACATAAAATTTCTTACACTATTAAATTATCATTTTACCGTTAATAATGTATGAATATTGGCATGTAATTCCTAGATGACAAGCCCACACATCTACTTGCACCTGAATCTATTTTGCCATTTCAGGCCGCAGATTTTTTTTCCCCAATTGTGAAATGAAAAGAGAAAACAATGACAGTAACAGTGACGGTTCCATCTTTCAGTAATTTTTACGCTTTCACAATCTTTTCCAAGCCTTGTGTATTTGTTAAAAAATTGAATACAACATCCTCGCAGACATGAAATCAGTAAATTCAAAAAGCTCAGTAGTACTGACTTCTGATCTGTAGGGCATATTCAATCATGGCAAGTTACCGGAATTGAGACCCATAGATTCTGCAAATTCTCTAGCAGCCATATTATCCGCTTGTACCTGCATTAATTGCAAATAACACATAGTTGGTGTCCACATAAAATTAAATGATGTATACTCAAGAGTATTGGTGTCGGCATAGTATAAAATGATGCATACTCAAGAGTTATCCAATCCGTAATGGAAGTAACAAAAAAAAAAAAATCCCAAAAAAGGAAATACTAGTTTTTCAAAGTTGAATCCGAAATTTTTTAATTTAAAGTGATATAATAATTAATTGGAATGGGAAAATAATTGATAGAATGACATACCAAGTGACATGATAGTGTCAATCAATTCACATTATTTGGGATGAAAAATTAGAGACAATTGAGAAGAGTAGCATTACTCTATAATTAAATTGACATGGTTTCAGATTCATATAAAAACACCCAACTAATAACAACAATAGTAAAAATAGCCAGTTAGACATACCTGAAGGCGATGCAACAAATACATCAAAAAGAGATGTACAAATACCTGCAGAAGATTCCTCATTATTGTTATCATATAATTTATATTCATCGATACATATATATATGTTTCAAATAGATGTTGTAACTAAAAGGTGAACCACTCTTACAAGATAGAAAAGCAGGATTACACGTGCTGTTGGATACCGCCAAAGAAATCTTGTGGCCCTGACGGCCCCTGAGTCCAATAGTTTTGCTGCCTTCTGCAACTGCATGAACAGGTTGAAGCAAAATGTTAAAATGAAAAAAGGGCGAGTAAATCATGAGCTACGAGAGCAGGGATACCTGTACGCTCGCTGCAGCCATGTGTCGGTGATGCAAGGGGAGTGGCCTGCAATAACCCGATTGTAAGAAAAAACAGATTGAGGTGAAGTCCCAATACAGATGCAGAGACATTAGTGAACATATGTTTTCCAGATGAGGATGTAAAGGTGGGTGGGTGGTGACATTTTAGTTCACTTTGATTTCACTCAGTTAATTTAATACCAGTAAAAAGTCCATTAAAAATAGAAATGTGTCTGCAGACCTGGAGAGGGGGCTGAATCAGAGGAGAAAGATCAAGACAGGAAAAGCCAACTAAAATTATTATATCATGGGCTTCAAAAAGTCCAAAAGTTGCACAAGGAAGATTCTAAGTCGTATCAAGTACCAGAGAAAGGAAGAGAAAATGCCACTACAGCAGAAAGTAGTAATGCCAGAAGATGTTATCGAACGACAACACTGCAACTAATCTAACTGATTGAGATTATAAAGAGCAGCCAAGGAAGCATTATCAATCTCACTAACATTTAGTTGCTTGGAAGTCTCAATCAGAATTTTCGAATGGAAGAAATAGTGCCAAATCCAAGTGGACAAGATTAAGCCTTTGCACAGTGCATCCAATAACTACCACCAAGTCATACTTCTAGCTTCCAACCCATTTTAAAAAAAAGTCATTGAGACCAACATACAATGAAATTCAGAAACAAGTAACATACTCAAGTGTCTTCATTTCTGTGTCTTCCTCCCAAGAAGACCATGCCCGGCGAGAAACTCTACTTCTTTCTGCCTCAACCTGATCAAGATAATGTTGACATCAAACAAAAACAAATTCAAAAAAGCAAAAATACTCCATACAATATGAGAAGCAAATCAACAGAAAAAAAAAAAGAAAAAAGAAAAAAAAAGATGATTACTTTAATCAAGCAGCATAAAATGCCAAAAACAGACCTGTGCTTCTTGAATACGTTTTATTTCCTTCTCCAATTGGAACTCTGCTGCAGCTTTTTCACTAGCCATGGTTTCTAGCTGTGTTTGCTTGTAGTACTGCATCAGATGACGATTATAGCTACAGAACTTTAAACATAATTATGGGACATTAACTGACTAGATAAGTTTAAGTTTATCTTACCAAGAGATCAGTTAGTTCACGGTAGCGTTTCTCTAGATCCATATGCTCCTGTTACAAGGCAACTAGAACCAATAAGATGACACTTGAGTAAACCATACAAAATCCTGCCAAACCCAGAAACTGATAAGGGAAATCACATGAACAATTGAATTTGATTTATATTTACTCATGTTAAATGTTATAGTTGATTGAAGGGTAACATGATAAAATTAAACATCTACAACGGCATTTTTCAATTTCAAACAATAAATCTCTTGCTCCCTTCAAGGTTAGCACAATAAAAATAAAAAAAGAACCAAGCTTCAAATATCATTAATTGATTTGAGCCAGAAAACTTTCACTCTCTCCCTAGAACAAAGACAGGGAACTTGGTTTATGATGACTCATGATGCGAGAAAAAGCAAACAAAAACAAAGAACTTGATCTATGATGACTCATGATGTCGAAGAAAAGCACAACAAAATCAAAGAAGAAACTAGTCCTATAGTAATTCAACATTTTAAGACAGCAAAGGTCTCTCTCTCAATACAAAATTCAAATGCATACCTGAAACAAAATTAATACCTGTTCAAAAAAAGATTGGGATCACTTGATACAAAAACGTTTGCCTTTTATGATATAAAACCTATGAATTCATAAATATTTTACTTGTTCGTCACTTGGAGACCGCCAAACAACTGAGTGTCTCTTTTAGCTTCCAATTATAAGATGTTTGCACTCAAGGATATAAATAATCAGTTTTTATCCACTCATGATCATGCAATTTCTGCATCTGCAGATCTTCATTATTTGTATTTATTTATTTTGGTTAAAACTATAATTTAAAAAGAGAACAGGAAAAAGGGGAGGGGGTGACTGGCTCAGAGTCATTCCAACTTACTTATCACAAATCCAGAAAGAGTTAACTAAGTTACCAGCACAAGCAGATGTTTGTTATAGAAATTATTTGAACCTACACAATGCACTAAGGACATTTTAAACATAGAGCATTATGGTACATTTCAACTTTACAAGTTCATCACAACTTATAAAGAGAAATTGCACCAGGCAGTTAGTTGAAGCTATAACTAAAAACAAGGCCTAAACTAGACAATTGACAATGGTGACTTCAGCGAAACTACAAAATACATAACACTTTGTCAAGGTATTGGGCATTAAAAAAAAAAAAAAAAGTTCCAGGAAAGTTGGCACTCCATTGTCATGATGTCACAGATTCCTAAGCTGTTGGTGCCCCTAATTCAAGAATCAAAATGATTGATGATAAAAATAAACAAGGAAAAGCAAAGGCCTCAGATAAACCAGAGTGGTCACCTCTCGCGAATAATGCTCCGCATCCCTCTTCATGGCAGCCATTTCGACTCTCATTTTTTGCACTTCCGCCTGCAATTAAACCAGCAATCAAGTCATACCAAAAAAATCCTTAAATTAGCCAGGAAAAACAATGTAAAGTTGAAAATTTATTTTTTGATAGGCAAGTTATCTTATTTATTTAATCGAACAAACTCTGGCATAGAAATCTCTATAGATATTAGCATAAAATCTCAAAACCTATTTTAGAAATCAAGCAACAACTACTTGCCTCCAAAGAAGAAAGCTTGCTCTCAGCATCTCTCTGGCCTTGGCGTGCACGTTCCACTTCATCTTGCCATGCCTGCATCTTAATGTTTAAGACTTCTCAGTGATACTAATGTAACAGATCCCCAAGGGGATAGCGGGATAGCCTAGGCGGTCAAATCCCCCTCAGACCAATTTTTCTTTTGTTGGGGGAAGGATAATGTAACAGATGACAGCATATCATAACTAGTATCACTTTTGGTACACTATACATCAGAATTATAAGAACTTATTTTTAATTGTTGAACTTGAGCAGATCAAACTGGAGACACAGACCCCATAATAACATAGAGCAAAAATAGAAAATGAGGTTCATATACAGTAAATTCTAATTTCTAACAATATAAAATTCTAGAAAAATGCATTAGTTCATGAATAATAATTATTAGTCATAAACTGAGGAACTGGGAATTATTTCTTCATAAAACATCAATTTTCCCAGGAGTACGAAAATCTCTTGCTACAACTTATATCCAAAGAATTCAACTTACAGATTTCCAGTTCACACCGTTTCATTATTTACCTGAATCACTTGATTTGCTTCATCAGGGGACTTCTTTTGTCCACGGCGAGCACGAGCTTCCATATCTTGCAGTTCTTGATTTAATGTTGCACATTCAAGCTGATGGCATATAGTGATAATTATTCAGGAAGTTTCAAACTGTAGATTTATCAAATAGGTGGAAAATAACCGTTTACAGAATGGTTATTAACCATGTGTCTACATACCTCAAGTACCGCTACCTTCTGCTCAAGGTCCCCCACCTTTGCTGTCCTCTCATCTGCAACTCTCTGAATGGGGAAGCATTTATAATATTCGATGAAGATAATATAAACTAATGCCAAAGAATAGGTGTCAAGTTCTACTGAGAAAAATAATAAATTGAACCATTTTATTTCCATCATCGTGACATTCTGAAATTCCAAAGTCTAGACAACATCCATTATGAAGCTAACACAGAATAGACTGTTGAATATGCTTAACAGAGACAGAGCAGCAGGAAGAATCAAACTGACTAGTAAAATGATCCTGAGACTGCAGAGGTTCATCAATAAGGAAACACTGAAAGGTGCAACACCAGTTGGAGGATATGTGATTAATTTTCCGGTTCTTTATTAAGATGGCATGAAAATAAATAAAGATTACCAAACTTATCATAACAAGTTAAAAGTTCCTATCAGTCTGTTAAAGATATTCTGATTATAAAATCCTTGTTAGTCATATACATGTGACAAATATTAACCTATAAATTAAGACCATATTCATACTTAGAATCTTCACTGCAGTACATAAGGCAGTAAAACTGAGTTACTTCAATACAGAAACTACTAAAAGCAGAGCATTGGGAATCAATTGAATGGGAAAATTTGCATGTATTGCAAGTGACAATTTCTCCCAATAATTAAACATGTAATTTTGGGATCTAAAATGATCCATATAATTTCTAGGGAGAGAATAGTCTATGTTCAATTTCCAACTGCATGAAATATGATAAGTTGAGGCAATCAACGTCTATGGATAAAAAAGCAAGACGTCTTGGCATTCATAATAATGGTAAAAATAGCCAAACACATAAAGTGCATTTGCATACCAAACCTACATTATTCACATTCTAGCGAAATAAGCATCCTTTGGCAGGAGAATCATGCACTATAATGAGGAAATGAGCCATAGCATGATAAATTCTTACATTACCTGCACCCTAGCAAGGGCTGTCGATGCCTCAACAGCTCTATGTTCCAGTTCCACTTCCCTTTCCATAGCAGCCTGTTTCACCATATAGAGATTTTAAATTGTGGGAAACTGACTGCAAATACATACATAAACAAATAGTCACCGGTCAGAACCATTTTGGTAGCATTATGTGCAGCACGTTCTTCTTCAGCTCTCCTTTCAGCAGAAGCAAGCTCCTCCCGTACAGCCTAATAAAGAAGTATAATCCTTAGTTATCTAATAGTCTGAAACAGAAAGAATGCTTACAAGGATATGCCAGTATTCATATCACAGATGCAATAAGTATGAAAAACCAACTAATTTACCTGCATCATCCTCGTCTCTGTTAATTCTCTATTTCTCATTATGGACTCCATGTTCATCTGAAAGCAATCAAGTTTATAAATGTCAAAACTAATTTACTAGATGGTAAATAAACATACAAAGAAAAATATATAATTCTAATTTAATATAAAGATAATACATAAAAAATTAAAATAAATCTTTGAAAGAAAGGACCCGTTCTCATGTGCACTACATAGTTTAACATTCCAAAATTTAAAAACAATTCTTAGATGAACCATTTCAAGCAGATGTATAAGATGCAGAATGGCCAGAAGTTTGATGAAGAATTTCACTCCGCGTAGACAGGATAAGGAAAAAGTGAAAAAAAGGATCATGAATCAATAACTGAACTGTACATGGGAAACATTACCAACCTGCAGCGAAGCCAGGTTTCCTTCAGATAAAGCAGCCTGTTTCTTTAGTGTATCTATAGAACTGACAAGCGCCTCAATTTCTGAGTTCTTCGCTGCTAAAGCCTCAGCCATGTTTGACTCCACTTTAGTTACTTCACTTTTAGAAGCAGATAATTCTTGCTGTAGCTGCTTTATTTGAGCCTCAAATGATCTACTCAGTTCTCTCTGTTAAGAAGCATTTTAAAATTATAACCAGCACTTCTGTGATGAAAGGAATAACACGTACAAACAAAGGTAACTTGAATGATCACTCAAATGATAAGATCGAAAGCAAATATGATGATTCACCTCCGCAACAAGAAGTTCCTCCAGCTGTGCATTTTCAGATTTGTACTCTTGAAGACGTGATGAAAGTCCAGCACAAACCTGAGCATTCATCAAATAAAGATTAACAGAAATCAAATTGCCAGGCCAATAGGAAAATAGGAAGGCTCCAAAACTTAGTCCTGGGATTAACCTAACACCTCTAGTTCGCACTTTCATAATAATAAATTAGTAAAGAAGTTCCTCGGTGGTCATACAAATTAATGTCTAATTTAGACCAAAAGCGGAGAGGAAATGAAGAAAACATGGAGGATCAGTTTGGAAGTAAGAAGCCCTTTTGACATCTCTTCATCTGCAAATAATTCTCAATGTGAAAACACACAGAAAAGGGGATGATATTTGGAAAGGAAAAAAGTGGATCTTCAGCATCCCAAATGAATTGGGCTTATTTAAAAAAGGCCATGTTCTTTGGAAGATCTTTAGGTCTGAATAAAGATTCCTTCAAAACAATTTGATTGCAAGGTCATTCCAAATTGGTAAAGTGTATTATGTATGAATGACTTAGGATGAACAGATACTATTAGTATAAACAAAAATGGAGAAAGAAATGGAGAGTCAACCAATAGGAAGTGATAAACGAAACTCAATTTGCTTTTATTATTTAAGCCATAAAGAGTCAGACAAAAGAACAGTCCAGATTATTTCCTACTTAATGCGTTAAAAGTAAAAAAACATGTGAATTCAATTAGTACCCAACCAACTAACAATTCTAATCCAAGATGGACAAATTAAACAACAATTTCTACCCTATAAAGCATTTTATCTCAGAAATTTTCAGTTCTTAAAAATAAACAGTCCACATAAATCATCACATTCTTACTCCCCTGCTCCATATTCACCAACTCCCTTTGAATCAAATAGTAATCCTTCAGTTCTTAAAAACAGTCCAGATAGAAGACTAATCTTTTCCAACAAACAACTGATTGTCAAATTCTTTTGCTCCTAAAAACAAGGTACATGAATTCTGAGATCTTACCCGAGCTAACCTTGCTTCTTTTGACTGGCCAGTGGAAATTGCCGTTTTCAGCAATCCTTGAGCCTCATCAAGTTGGTCCTGTACCTTCGTAGGCGGACTATCCATTTTGTGCTCCTGCTGCTTCTTCTGAGTTGCAACAGTATCAACCTTAGAATCAATATCTTTCAATGGACTTCCACTATTAACAGGAGGCTCAACAACTACAGATAGAGATCTCTCATTATCTGTCTTCAGAGGAACATCAGCATCTTCTGATTTGATTTTTTCTCCAGCATCATTTGAATGATCTTCATTGGCAATCCCAATTTCTTTGGGAAGCAATGATGAAGGAGATTGTTCTACATGAACATCTGAAGCATTCTCATTGAGAAGCTCACCATTTGAAGTTGATACAGCAGTGTCTGCATCAGTAACAGTTACAGGAACTTCTGCAAGATCAGCATCATGTTTACCTGAAGCATTTGCTGGAGGCCCTGTCGAAGGAGTGCTGGGGGTGTCTTTTTCAATACCTTGCTCCTGCTCATTATTTGGGGTCTTACCACTAGGGGTCCTCTCATTTTCAACTGCTGAAGGAGCAGCCCTATCTCTGTCAGGTGTTAAATCTAACTGGAAATTTGTGTGAGCCTGCTCCTGTGCAGTATCACCTATATTTTGAGATTCATTTGAGGAGAGTCTCTTTTGAGCCTGCAACTACCTATGTGTGAGTTAATGCACTTAATCACAGTCATTAGACATGAATAAACTTTAGACCACAACAAGATATAAATATTCATGTTACCTTTGTCCTTGACTTTGTCCTCCTGGCTTGAGATCCTTGTCCGTTGGAAGCTTAAAATTAAAAAGAGAAAGATCAATGGTAAGACGACATGAAACAAAATATATTACAACACAAGAAAGTCAAGGCAACTTATAGCTAGGCAATACAAAATACCACCATTTCTGCAATTGCAATGTCATATATAAATCGAGTCACTTTTAACATTTCTTAGTATGGGTGAAATCATATTTGTAACTCGAATGCAGTTTTTATGCTTTAAAGTTGAAAGAAAGCATTGATTTTATATCAAAAATTCACATTTCAACCAATTCAAAATTGTTTGAGAGCAATTATGACTAAATTCAACCCAAACAATGAAGTTTGCTAAAGCTAGAGTCAGTTATACATGGATATTCAATTAAAAGCCAATGCTGCTTTGAAACTCAAAGCACATCCAAGCAAACATAAATTTCCATATTCACTAACTCCCAATTGTTTGCAGCCCTCCACAATCAATATGTCAACTCAGCAAATAACACCCATATGTGCCAAGGCTACGATTACCGTTAAGACAGAATTGCCAAAACAGCCATCAGGTGCTGTGCCAGTTAAGTATCCCCAGTTAAATTGATGTATCCATGAAAGAATCAAAATCCATTATAAATTCCAGACATCATCTAACTGTAATATTGAGAAATATAAATAAGATTCAGCCGACAAAAGATCTATACCTGGTGTCGGCGAATCAGATTGCTCATCTGCCAAATCACTGACAACCAGCTTTGCTCTTCGGTCTACGACTTCAAACAAATCTGAACCAAGAAAGAAAAAAAAAACAAAGCACTTCCATAAAGTAATAAATAAATTTAAATAAAAGTATTTTGATAAAGAAACAGAAAATCACATCAAAGATGTAGATAGTCTATAACTTGAAGATACATTGACAGATAGCATTTGTCAACAAAGAAGTTTATAACTTTCTCAAAACTATTTACAAGATTCTTAGTACAAACAACAAATTATCAGATCAATGTAGTAACCAAGCTTAATCTGCAATTTAATATTACAAATAGGTTCGTAATCTCACCAACCAACCTCGTATTTGATAGTAGCTTAAAGCCTTAATTCATTTCAATTAAGATTCACATCTAACAATCGAACAATTTACACAATAGATAACTAAATTTTCACAAATAGATTAGAAAAAGATGAGATTAATAAATGAAAGTTGATGCTGAATTGCAGACCTTCGGCAGCTTTGAGCCACGAAGCCATTGATTCTGAATCTCGAAGAATTCGTGCCCTAGAAAATGTGGATCAACGTGACGTCCATGCACCAGCGGGAAAATATGAAGAGAAGTGTAGGTTAAATGGGCAATAGCTGAAACTGAGACAAAATGATTTTGATTTAATGCTTAGATGAAAAGCGATTCGGTTGTTTAGAAAGAATGTGAATTTGAATTTGTTATGTGTGTATGAAGACATTAGTTAGTTAAGGGAAGGGTATGTTACAAGTTAGAAAGCGAGGAATTGAGTGATCTTGCTGTGCTTTCATGACTATGCTAGTGTGATGCTTTCACTAATCTAGGCCGTCCAATTTGCTGAGGTTTGATCAGCCGAGTGTCTCCCTCTTTGGCTGTTTCGTTTCTACCTTCTGCCCTATGTAGAGTACTTTGATCCCTTCAACATGTAATTTTGTTTTGATACTAGTAATCTGATCTGAACTAGGAAAAAAGGTTTTCAAATTGCTTATTATTGTAAAGAATTATGGATCTCTCACCATTTGAAGCATTTCATCATACTATTGCCACCTCTTGACACATGGCAAAGGGTGGTATCAATTTGTGGCACCTAGTGGCTAAATGGCAAGATTTGATTAGTTTGGGGGGTGGCAAGCATTACTCTGTAAACGCTTCCTCTCCTTTGTAATTCTTGTGTACTAACGTGAAAAGATAATAAATTTCAGCCCCTTTGCTGTTCTTCCATTTCAATAGTCCCTTATCTTTCATTAGTTACGTATTAGTCCTTATAATTGTCTTATATTTTGTAATTATTACAATACGTTATCAGGACGACCAGCTTATCAAGTGTAACGATGTAGGCCTACTGAAAGTACATATTTTTTACCCTAAAAATGTTATTTAATTCTTGTTTCCGCTTTTATGGTTGAATTTATTTATTATCATTAAATTCCACGTATTTTCAATCTCACGTGTTTCTTAATCTCTGTTTCCGCCTTTATGGTCGGATCTATTCATTATTATTAAATTCTGCCTCCATGGTCGGATTTATTTATTACTGTTAAATTTCGCCTCCATGGTTGGATTTACTTATTACTATTAAATTCCGCCTTTATGGTCGGATTTATTTATTATTGCTAAATACCGCCTTCATGCTTGGATCTATTTATTGTTGTTAAATACCGTCTTTATGGCTAGATCTATTTATTATTACTAAATAACGCCTTCATGGACGGATCTATTTATAATTGTCATTTTATTTATCAATTCTTTACAACTATCACATTTTATATTTCATTTGTTAGTTTTGGATGCCTGAATGCATCCCATGACATGCATCCAGAAGATGCAGAACTAATTACATTACTCTTATTAATGAATAGTTCTCGAAAATGTCGAACCTTGTGAAGCTCCAGTATGAGGCCTTGAGACTAGATGGAAAAAACTATGATGAATGGGCCTTAGACACTACTCGCCATCTAGAATCTATGAAACTGGGTGAAGTCATTAAGGAAGGAAACATGACGTCCCTGCAGGACAAATCAAAGGCTACTATTTTCCTTCGGCATTATATCCAAGAAGGGCTACGAGCTGAGTATAAGGATATAAAAGATCCACTTCAATTGTGGACTAATTTGAAGGAGAGATTTGAACATAACAAATTAGTAATACTCCCAATGGCTCAGTATGATTGGACTCATTTATGTATACAGGACTATAAATCTGTCAGTGCATATAATTCTGCTTTATTTGGGATTGTCTCCAAATTAAGAACATGTGGAGAGAAAATAACTGAAGAAAATATGTTGGAAAAAACATTCTCCACTTTTCACCCCTCCAATATGCTCTTGCAGCAGCAATACAGGGAGCATAACTTTAAGAAATATTCTGAATTAATTTCTTGTTTACTTGTGGCTGAGCAAAATAATGAACTGTTGTTAAGAAACCACCAAACTCGCCCCACTGGTTCCCAACCGTTCCCCGAAGTGAACGCAACGACTAGTAGTAATAATCATGGGAGTGGGCGGGGTCTAGGTCGAGGTCATGGGCGAAATAACTATCAACCCAGAGGTGGTCATAATAAGAAATTTCAATCGCCCCACCCAAAGTAGAGCAAGACTAAATCAAAAAATGAAAGAAGCCACCCACATACCAAGAAATCAAGAATAATGAAAACAAGTGCTATATATGTGTAGGAAATGGCCATTGGTCACGTACCTGTCATACGCCCAAGCACTTGGTGGAATTGTATCAAGCATCGATTAAGAACAAAAAGATAGAGAGACAAATCTAACTGATGCCCCTGAGTCAAATCATATTGATAACTCTGAACCGATTGGCCTTAATGTCTTAGATTTCTTTGGAGATGCCGATATGGAATGTTAGAGTCATTATGAAAATGCCTGTGATTTCCAGGATTTATGTAACTTTTGTCATGTTTTTGAACTATGCATTTTTTTTTTTTAATATTTTTGTCTTGTTTTTACCCCTTTAAGTTATGTAAACACTGTCACTAATGTAAAAAAATGTTTTCTTTAAAGGATGAAATTAAAAAATGAAAAATCGATATCTAGTAATGATGGAGACATATGTATAGTAGACAGTGCAACGACGCACACCATCCTTCGGGATAGAAAATATTTTTCGGATTTGACATTTATTGAAGCTAAAGTAAATATCATATCAAGGTCTGTAAACATAATTAAGGTCTCTAGAAGAGCAACACTCGTGTTACCAAGCGGAATTAAATTAAGTATCCATGATACTTTATATTCTAGCAAATCCAGAAGAAATTTGCTTAGTTTCAAAGATATACGACTCAATGGATACCACATTGAAACTTTAAGTGAAAATGATAGAGAGTTTTTATGCATCACTGCTAATATTTCATGCCAAAAGCATGTACTAGAGAAACTTCCTGCTTTCTCATCGAGGTTATATTACACATTCTTGAAGAATATTGAAGTCTATGCAGTTATGAACCAGAAGTTCATTGATCCTGAACTTTTTAAATTTTGGCATGACCGTCTTTGTCACCTAGGATCTACTATGATACGTAGGATCATAGAATACTCACATGGGTACCCATTAAGGAACCTGAAGATTATATCACCTAATGAGAGTATTTGTATTGCTTGTTTACAAGGCAAATTAGCACTTAAGCCATCCGTCACTAAAGTTGGTGTAGAATCCCTATCATTTTTACAAAGAATTCATGGGGATATATGTGGACCCATTCATCCACCAAATGGACATTTCCACTACTTTATGGTACTGATTGATGCATCGGCACGATGGTCGCATGTTTGTCTACTATCTACCTATAATGTTGTCTTTGCTAAATTGCTAGCACAAATTATCAGATTACGTGCACATTTTCTAGATTACCCAATTAAAGCAAGATGTCTCGACAATGCTGGTGAGTTTACGTTAAAAACATTTGATGACTATTGTACAGCAATAAGAATTGTTGTTGAGCACCCGGTACCACATGTACATACCCAGAATGGTATGGTATGGTCATTTATAAAGCGTATCTAATTAATTGCAAGAATTTTGCTACTACTTACACAATTACCGAAGTCTACCTGGACTTATGTTGTTTTACATGCTACTGTGTTAATTCACCTAAGACCCACAACATATTATCAATACTTTCTGATACAACTTGTATTTGGACACCAGCCTAATATATCGCATTTAAGAACTTTTGGTTGTGTTGTGCAAGTTCCAATTGCACCCCCTCAACGAACCAAAATGGGACCCCAATGTCGTTTGAGAATATATGTTGGCTATGACTCACCATCCATCATCAGATATCTTAAGCCTTTGACGAGTGATCTATTGCTGCACGTTTTGCGGATTGCCATTTTGATAAGACAATATTTCCCCCTTTAGGGGGAAAGGTAAATCCTCCTAAAGTAAGGTCTGAACTTTCCTGGAAAGTGAATTCTATGTCTCATTTAGATCCTCGCATATCTCAATCTGAAGTTGAAGTACAAAGAATAACACATTTGCAAAATATTGCCAACCAAATGCCTAATGCATTTATAGATGCAACAAAGATAACGAGATCATACATTCCTGCTGTCAATACACCAACAAGGATGATGTTACCATTGAACGATCCATGCAAGTAGCAATTGATTCATCTATTACATGCTAGAAGCGTGGTAGGCTTGTTGGAGCTAAGGATACTATTCTTAGGAAACGAAAGACACATAATCAAATAGGTGCCAATATTGACAATACTGGAATAATTGACAATTCTATATTTGCTAAACTAACTCCAGAAGAGTTAATAGTCCCTAAAAGGACACAAGCCCCTAAAGAGGAAGAAATCCCTGAAGGAATGCAAAAACATAGAAATGAAAAAATTTCTATAAATTATACTCACTCTAGAGAAATGTGGAATCGTGACACAACTATTGTCGCTAACATATTCTCATACACAGTAGCTAGTGAAATTATGAAGAGTTTGAGTCACGTTCTGTTGATGAATGTCGACAAAGACATGATTGGCCAAAATGGGAAAAAACAATTCAAGCAAAATTAACCTCCCTAGCAAAACGTAATGTATTTGGACTTGTAGTCCAAACGCCTAAAAATGCAAAACCCGTGGGATATAAGTGGGTATTCACAAGGAAACGAAATGAGAAAAATGAGTTTGCTAGGTATAAGGTCAGACTAGTGGCTCAAGGTTTCTTGCAGAGACCTGGAGTTGACTTTGATAAGACGTATTCACCAGTGATGGATGCTATCACATTTCAATACTTGATTAGTTTATCAGTCTCAGAAGAACTTGATATGCGTCTCATGGACATTGTCACTGCGTATTTGTATGATACACTGGATACTGATATCTATATGAAAATCCTTGAAGGATTCAAAGTGTTAGAAGCACATAAAAGGAACATGTATTCAATAAAATTGCAAAGATCGTTATATGGGTTGAAACAATAAGGACGAATGTGGTATAATCATCTCAGTGAATATCTTATGAAAGAATGATACATTGATGATCATGTATGCCCGTGTGTCTTTATAAAAATGTCAGAATCAGGATTTGCAATTGTGGCTGTCTATGTCGATGACATGAACTTAATAGAGACTTCTGAAATGTCATAAAATTTGTTCAGTATTTAAAAAGAGAATTTGAAATAAAGGATCTAAGAAAACAAAGTATTGTCTCAGCCTGCAAATCGAGCATTGTTCAAATGGAATTTTGCTCCATCAATCAAATTATACCAAAAAGATCCTTAAGCGATTTTATATGGATAAATCTCACCCCTTGATTATCCCAATGGTTGTTCGGTCTCTTTATCCTAAAAATGATTTATTTCATCCTAAAGAAGGTGATGTAAAGATACTTGGTCCTAAAGTACCGTATTCAAATACAATATGTGTATTATTATATTTGGCACAATGTACGAGACCAGACATAGCATTTGCAGTGAATCTGTTGACAAGATTAAACTCTGTACCAACTCGTCGACATTAGGATGGGATCAAACATGTCTTTTGTTACCTCAGTGGAACAAAAAGCTCGGGATTATTTTATCCAAGGAAATCTATTAATGATCCTAAATTAGTTGACTATACAGATGCTAGATACCTTTCTAATCCTCACAAAGCTCGCTTGTAGATGGGATATGTTTTCACTCATAATGGTACAGCAATATCATGGCGCTCTACAAAACAGACATTGGTTGCTACTTCCTCCAACCACTCCGAGATTCTTACGCTTCATGAAGCCAGCTGAGAATGCGTATGGTTAAGATCTGCCATCCATCATATTGAAAGTTCATGCAAATTGTCATGTACCTCAAATGCTCGCACAATTATAAATGAAGACAATGCGGCATGTATTGCACAAATCAAGGGAGGATATATCAAAGGAGACAGAACCAAGCATATTTCATCGAAATTCTTTTACACTAACGAACTTCAGCAAAATCGAGAGATTGATGTCAAACAAATACGCTCCAGTGATAATCTTGCAGATTTATTCACTAAAGACTTACCGACATTAACATTTGAAAAGTTAGTGTATGGCATTGCTATGCGGTGACTCAATAAGTTACTAAATTAATTCTACCATTATGAGGGAGAGCACTGGTCAAGAGGACTAGAGGAGCATCAATTAGGGGGAGTTTTTTTTTTTTAGAAAGGTTTATTATACTTGACATATGTATACTGTACTCTTTTTTCCTTGATCAGGTTTGGCCCCGCTAGGTTTTCCTGACAAGGTTTTTAACGAGGCAGTATTCCACACGTCCAACAACATTATACAGTTCATCATGTAATTTTGTTTCTTTGCTAAGGTTTTTGTCCCATTAGGTTTTCCCTAAGTAATGTCGACTATAATTGTCCGTAAGTGGTGGATTTTATTTGGTGGAGATCCAAAGGGGAGTACTATAAAGAATTGTGGATCTCTCACCATTTGACACATTTGATCATTATTGCCACCTCTTGACACATGGCAAAGGGTGGCACCTAGTGGCTAAATAGCAAGATTTGATTAGTTTGGGTGGTGGCAAGAATTACTATATAAACCCTTCCTCTTCTTTGTAATTCTTGTGTACTAAAGTGAGAAGATAACAAATTTCAACCCCTTTGTTGTTCTTCTATTTCAGTAGTCCCTTATCTTTCATTAGTTCTGTATTAGTCCTTATAATTGTCTTACATTTGGTAATTATTACAATACTGATGTATATTTTATTTTATTTTGGTTTTAAGTCAATCAAATGTAAAATGGATAAAGGACTTTAAAGTTGAGTACCTGATCTCACTGAGAATGCAACATTTGGTAAATAGTACTATAGTTTGGTTTGTTCGGTGAGCAGGGCTCCAGGCTAGCATCCCAGGCCCATGACTATTCCCAAGTCCACCAAAAATTTTAAACAAACCAAAGTCCAAGTTGGATAATGGATATCTTGTTTTGTCTTTTAATTTCTAGTCGAGTACAAAACCCAGTTTAGAATTAACAAAACCCATCCATACGTGGTGTTTCGAAGGCCATTGGATTGATTTTGTTTGTTTCTCACTCACTGATATGTGTTTTCTCTCTGTGATAGGTTTTTCAAAATCTTTAGAAAGGAGTTATTAATGG